TGGTGGGCCATGAAATAGGGGCAAATCTGCAGGGAGGCAGCACCGGGGACCCCTCGGGAGATGTGTGAGGGACTTGCACTCAGGAAGGGCAGATGCTGCCGGCTTGGATTTGTTTGGGGAGCTTTGGGGGACCGCTGGAAAAAGGGTGACCCCAGAGAGGCCACAGAAAACACTGTGAGGTTGTTAGAGTGAGGGGGCAAGTCCATACCTAAGTATTTCCTTAGGGGGCAACCTGCCTCCTCCCCCCAAAGCCTGCAATTGAGGGAGCCGGGCCGATGCACAAGCAGACACCCAGGGCCAGCCGTGCAGCTGGCCTCTTCCGCTCTCCCGGCCCGGGGAGGAACGGGGCGCACACTCTCCCCCCGTCCCCTCTGCACCTGCCAGTCTGGACCCAACAGCTCATGTCTCTGCCCTGCAGACCCTCCCCAACCAGGGTGGAGGCTGAGGCCCTGGAAACTCATTCCCCCTGGGAGCCGGGGGTGGGGGCGTCACCTCCTTTGGATCGCGGCCCCAAAGCCAAGACGCAGGCCGGGTGGTTCCCACCAGACCCAGAGAGCACAGCAGAGGGGTCAGGAGAGGGGAGGGATGGGGCAGCGGAGGGCGATGTTTCTCCTTTCTCCCCTCCCCCGCTGCACTTCCTTCGGCACCAGGCATCCCCATAGCCCCGGGCCCTCCCCGACAAGCTGCCCCAGCGCTGCCAGGAATCCTCCAGGCCGGCCCCTCCGGCTCGCCCCTGGTGGAGGTTCTGCCCATAAATAAAGGCAGAATAATTCATGTAATATTCATCGCCGCAATAACCATGTCGGTTGCAGATGCTCCCTTCTGTGCGCAGCGTCTATCGGCCTCGCTGACGCGTAACGGCTGCCTGGCTCGGACGGGCTCCGTGAAGGGAGACACCCACGTTAAAACAGAGTCTGGAGTCTCGGTGAGGGGCCCTGGCCTGCCCTGCCCGGGTTGGGCTAGACTGTAACAGTCCCTTCTCTCCTTAGACATCCCAACCCGCCCCTGTATCATGGAGCGTACACAGGTCAACAAGGGATCTGGGGTGGGGGGATGGGCAGGGGTGGGAAGCCCCCAATCTTCTGGCCTGGCTCTGATGGGGGGGAGGGAGGAATTTGTTCCTTTGCCAGAGACTTTGCTCTTTGGTGAGAAAGTGGTGTGCATAGCCTGCTTCTTTGCTTTGCCATGGTGGGGAAACTGAGGCCCTGTATCATGGAGCGTACACAGGTCAACAAGGGATCTGGGGTGGGGGGATGGGCAGGGGTGGGAAGCCCCCAATCTTCTGGCCTGGCTCTGATGGGGGGGAGGGAGGAATTTGTTCCTTTGCCAGAGACTTTGCTCTTTGGTGAGAAAGTGGTGTGCATAGCCTGCTTCTTTGCTTTGCCATGGTGGGGAAACTGAGGCCCGGAGCACGGCTGTGCACCAGGGGCCAGGCTTGTATAGTGAGTCAGTGGCAGGGCTGAGAACAGAACCCAGCAGTCCTGACCCCCACGCCTGCCCCAGCTCTGTCCACTAGACACTACTTCCTTCCCACAGCTGAGCCACAAACCTGCTCACAGTCCATCACCCACGGGTGGGGATTGGGGGCTGCTTATTTGCCTCTCCCAAGCCAGCAGGCGCTGCTCAGAGCCAAAGCTGGGGAGATGGAGCCCGTGGCTGTGGATGGTCTGAGTGGTTTTCTGTGGGGCTGATAAACCAGAATCCCAGGCAGCTTCCCTCCCGCCCTGCTCCTGGGGGCTCATAGTCGGTGGCCTGCAGGTCAAAGCCCTGTTTCCTCTTCTGCACCGGATGAGGTCTGTGCCTTTCCCATTCCACAGCCCCTGTTGAGTGCTCCCCATGGGCAGCCAGCGGATACAGGCCGGGGCTTTCAAACCCAGAGGACACCATGATTGCTGGGGAGTTTCCCTTCCCTCACTCCCCCCGATTTGCTGCTGTTGCATTGCAGAGGGCAGGACGGAAGGGGCGAGGCAGATGGAGCCCACTCCGAGAGCTGGGGAGACCTCCCTGTGTAGACAAGCGGTCCTGCGGCACCTTCGAAACTAACAAAGATACAGGAGCATGAGTTTACATGGGCAAAACCCACTTCATCAGCTGGGCTGGAGTGGAAATAATAGAACCAAGATATTTATAACGGGGGAGGGGAAAGGAAGCCGTCAATTGTAGGACAGATGCTAATGCAGCTGTTAGAGGCAGGGGAGGCTGGCTTTATAATGTGACATCCAGTTAATGTCCTTGTTCAAGCCCAGGGAAAGTGACACATTTGTAGATGGATGCCAGTTCTGCATTCTCTTTCGCTCTCTCTCTAATTGGCTGGTGAAATTCCTTTGCAGGAGAATGGCTACTTTTAAATCCAGGTTGAATGTCCAGGCAGGTTAAAATGTTCCATTACGGCTGCGATCATGGGTGTTACCCTTTCTGATGTCTGATTTGCATCCATTTCTCCTTTGTCACAGAAACAGTCCTATTTGGCTGATACATCTGTACAGATAAGCATTGGCCACCCTCAGAGGATGAGGCTAGGCAGCTGGTCCAACCTACCTCACATCCTTAGACCGACAGGTTCAAATCCCAGCAGGCTGACTCAGTTTACCTGCTTTGGAAGGCTAGCACTATGCTGCAGTTTGCTGAGGGAAAGGCAGCAAGATCTCAGTGCTTGGCAGGAAAAGACTCCGCTTTGCAAACAGTGCGGCGAGGTCTCTGCTTTGTCTCGGACCAGAGAGGAAAAATTCAGAAGCCTCAAAATCTGTCCTGAACCACAAACCTTGTTTTCCAGCCAGGCAGACGGGAACCTGTGGGATTTCTAGAGAGAGAGCCGGAGCCCAGCATGGCCTGGTTGGTTTGGTTAGGGCAGGGTGGGCAAGCCAGGCTCCTGAGCTGGCTCTGAATCGGGCAGGGTGTCTTGTTTCCTGGACTATTCTGATGTGGAGTCGGTTCCTCCTGTCTCTCACCTGGCCGCATTTCA